ATTTATTTTTTACAAAACAGAGGCTGTCAGGAATAAGTGGGAATAAACTAAAAAAAAACTGTTTATACAATTAGATGGGATTAAAAAAAAGTAAAGGTAAAGTAATAGCAGTGTAAACTCACACTAGTTGTGAAGTTTATTAAAAGAAATAAAAACTAAAAGCTCAATAATGTACCCTGACTACACAGTCACGGTCGCCCCAGAGCTGGCAGAGCTGTAATAGAGTCGGGATGACTTACAAACCGCAGAGGATATGGTAAATTGGAGCACTCTCTCTAGACCTCAGGCCAGACCTACCCATTCATTCCTTCTTTGATTCACCGAGAGAGTGTGCTGAGCACCCACTCAGCCAGGCCCTATGCTGGGCCCTGGGATTCAGAGTTGGACAAGGCCCAGTCCCTGCCTCACAGAACTTCCCATGTGGTAGGGGAGACAGACAGGTAACTAAGGCCACAATCTAGTCTGAAAAGCCCTGTGACTGAGAGATGGGTGAGTACAGTATTAGCCCTGAGGAGAGACCCAACATGCCTGGCAAAGCAGGAGGGCTTCCCAGAAAGGAAACCTAACGGATGAACTGGGTTTGCCAGGTGGACAAGATGAAAGGCATTCTCAAAAAGGGACCAGCCTGTGTGAAGACTCAGAGGTGGGACATCACATACCTCATTTGGAAATCTATACCGGTTTGGTGAGAGCCCGAGGGCTCCGTGTGAGTGGCCAGACCACAAAGGGCCTGCTGGGATACGGAGCCTGACTCCATCCTAGGGATAATGAGAACCCAGCAAGAGCAATTGCACTAGGGAGTGGCATGATTTAATGTGTTTCTAAGAAAAAAATCCATCTAACTACATAAGAACTATCCAACTAGTTTGGGAGAATCTAGTTAAAGAAAATAACCCAAAAAGAAAACAAAGGTCATTTATCCGAGATGTTCCTAGCAGTGTGCTTTACTATAGTAACAAAATAATAAAAGCCTAATATGCAAATTGTTCTACCGGCAGTTCTACCTGGAGTTTTACCGCATGCTATGACATACGCTGACCACTAGGGGGTGGCTCGGAACATGGCAGCAATGTGGCGCTGGCAGTAGGGGGCTGTGGAGGTGCTACCAGCCTCAATGGGCCCCGACGAGAGTGGGAACGCTATGGGATGGTGGAGTAAGTGAGTGGGTGGCACCAGACCAAGACAGGTACAAGAGGGGTCCTGATAGCCCCATGGATGGTGACCTGCGGTAGAGGCCGGGGGGCAGGGGGACAGGACCGCCACCTGGTTCCCGTGGATTCGCACAGGAGCTAGTCTGTGAAGCCAGCTGGGAGAGAATGCGCTGCTCACCCAGCTTCCATTGGCACCGCTGGGCAGCCCAGAGGCCCATGCTGTGCCTGGCCCACAGTATCCATCCATGCTCACTACATCTCCACATGGAAACTCTTGTATTATGACTCAGGCAGAGGGTCATGTGTAGGGGCTCAGGGACCCAGATGCTGCCAAGGGCCCAGAGGTCAGCTGGGACCTCCCTTCCATGCCAGACACTAACACTTTGATTGCTGGCCAGGCCTAGGGACTGCACCTGTGCACAAATTTCATGCACTGAGCCTCTAGAAGTAAGAAAATGGCCAACTCTGGACAAATGAGGCATGACCCACACCTCAAGGTGCTCCCATGGGAAATGGAGATGAATAAACATATTGATAGTACAGAGGGGACAGTGGCTGGGTCCTGGAGAGAGAGAGGAAGGGCTGCAGGGATGTAGTGATAAGAAAACTCCTCTGGAGAGGTCCAGGGAAGGCACCCTGGAGGTACCATTTAGGTTGGTAGGTAGGGTTAGACTTTCAAGAGCAAGGGAATGTAAGTGTGCTCTAGACCCGTGGTCGGCAAACTGTGGCTCAAGAGCCACATGCGGCTCTTTGGCCCTTGAGTGTGGTGGCTCTTCCACAAAATACCACGGCCCGGGCGAGTATATTTTGAAGAAGTGGCATTAGAAGAAGTTTAAGTTTTAAAAATTTGACTCTCAAAAGAAATTTCAATAATTATACTGTTGATATTTGGCTCTGTTGACTAATGAGTTTGCCGACCACTGGGCCAAACGGAGATTAGTTCACATATGTGCAAAGTCAAGGAGACTGCCCAATTCCAAGTATACATGGGGAACTGTGAGTGGTTCAAATGGATAGACAATATACTTGATATTAATACAGTGGACTATTATACAGCAATGAAGATGAATTATGTACGGCCATACACAATAGCATACATGAATCTCAAAAACTTAACATTCAGTTTAAAAAGGCAGACACCAAAGAAGACATCCTACATGTATAAAGTTCAAAATCAAATTAAATGGAACTTTAGAATTTGGGGATACACGTTTAGGTACTGAGGTTATTTTTAAAAAGTAAAGAATTGGTCACATGGATAGTCAAAGTGATAGTTGTCTCTGAGGGGAAGGAGGGAATCACATAGCCAAGGACACAAAGGAGCTTCTGGAGCTCTGCTATATCTTCCCCTGGGCTATGTGACGTTTGCACTGTGAGCAATCACTGAGCTGTACTTTTTAACTTATTCTCATCCGAGAATATGTTTATGGTTTTAAAGAGAGGAAAGAAGAAAGGAGAGGAGAGGAGAGGAGAGGAGAGGAGAGGAGAGGAGAGGAGAGGAGAGGAGAGGAGAGGAGAGGAGAGGAGAGGAGAGGAGAGGAGAGGAGAGGAGAGGAGAGGAGAGGAGAGGAGAGGAGAGGAGAGGAGAGGAGAGGAGAGGAGAGGAGAGGAGAGGAGAGGAGAGGAGAGGAGAGGAGAGAGAGAGAAAAACATCAATGTGAAAGAGAATGTTGATAGGTTCACAATCAAACACTTTAAAGACAAGTAAATAACTTGCACATATCAGCGTTTTATCTGGGACAAATTACTTGCGGCATTAACTTCCCTATGCCCACAATAACCTCATCATCTAAAATAGCGGGTATTCCAATGACACTGCAACTTTACTACTCAGCCACGACCCCTTAGGGACACAAGGATGGATCTGAGGGCATCTGACAAGGGTCTATTTAAACAGGTTGAGCCAGGAAACCCCGAGGGGCTGAGAAGCCTTGGGCCTTTGGAACTCACTTTCCTCATCCGAAGAACAAAGACAATGACAGTCTCTGTCCCCACCCTGTGGAGCCACTGTGAGGACTGGATGAATGAAGCATGAATGTGTTCACAGCTCTGCCTGAGTATATGAAGTGGTTTATAGATGTTAGACTAATTGAACTGCATGCAAAACCTGGTTTGCAGGAGTATATTTCATGCATCTAGAAGATTCTGAGTCTCAAAGGGACATCAAATACCCATCATTGCAAATGGCCCTCCCCAGGCCCTTTTCAGCTCCTGAGGGCTTCCTGGCACGCCCTTTTTACATTATGGATGAGAACACTGCTTCCTCTGAGTTAGAAACCACAGCCCTGACCTGTCTTCCAGGGACCCAGCCTGCAAGCGCCAGGAGGAGAAAAGAAACATCCAAGTGTCTTCTCCCCAGGACCTTCTTCCTTTTGGGGGCGAGGGTTGCGGCCACGTTCAGCAAGAATCACAGAACCCGAAGCCGCCCTCTGCTGCTGAGTTGGCAAGAACCTATATCACATGCAAAATTGCAATGTTCCCGCATGGGCCACGATGCTGAGAAGCCAAAAACTGGGCTCCAGCTGCCCTTTGATCTGCAAGAAATGCCAGGCTGGACGCTCTGGCAGGAAAGGCTGTCATCGCCTTTGGGTCTCCCTCCCAAGGAAACAATGGTCCGGGCTGTCCCGGGCCTCCTCCAGCACACAAAGAGTTAACCAAGGCCACCCGCTCAATCCCCACTTCCCTTCCTGGAGACACCTCTATGGAGACTGTGTTCTGCTCTCCTAACTCCAAAAGGGGTCAGAGACTACTGTTGGAGAGCACAGCTCTCCCTCAAAACTGCATGGAGACAGGGCGGAGCAAGGCACGACCAGAGCCTGCAAATCTGGGCTCTGCTCTGCCGTTGGACTGGCCACTGCCCAAGCCTCTCTCATCCTCCCTGTCCTCTTCTGTAAGAATGCCCCCGTTGCTTTCCAACACAGCTATTGCAAGCGTCAAGCCTCAGTATCTTATTTTCTGCCTGGTATGCGCCAGCGTGTGGAAAGCGTATTATTTCTAATATCTCTCTTAATCTTCACAGCAGCCCTAGGAGGTCAGGTGATTTCATTATCGTCCCGCCCCCCCTTATTTATTTATTTATTTATTTATTTATTTATTTATTTATGTATTTATTTATTTTTGATGAGGAAACTGAAGCCCAGAGAGGAGAAATGAATCGCCCAAGGTCACCTAATTAGGCACAATTCAACCCACACTGCTTGGCACAACCTAACTGAAATATCTTCTCACTAACCCCCCACTCTTCATCCCACCGCCTCTGGGTCCAGGTGGGGAAAGTGAGCTGAGGCTGGGGAAACAGAAAAGACTAGACCCCCCTGTTTCCCAGCCCCTCCCATCACCCGTGGAACCACTGCCCCATGGATGTGACTCCCTGGGTAACTCAGCGCTAAGTTAGGCATCAGAGCAATTCAGTCCCGTTATTTCTTTCGAGGTGACGGAGCCAGGTGTCTCTGCTGCCGGCCATGCTCCCGCACCTGTGTACAGGGCGGGCACCGGACCTGCCCTGGCAGTGAGCTTGGCAGCACGCACGACCTGGGCGCGGGCACTGGGTGCAGCTAACGGTCCCCGCGGCGCCTCTGGTGCCCTCCTGTGCTTCCAAAGGCTCCCTACGGCCAAGACTGGCGGGGCCACGCCTGACTTTGACATCCTGGATGCTGCCCAGGATCCACCCCAGGAGCCCCCCGTACCGCCCCGGGAAGCCGCGGCAGGACCGCCAGGGCGCACGGCGCGGCGAGGACTCCCTTTTATGTCCAGGAATGAGGCGCGCACTGCAGCCGCGCCCGCCGCCAGCACCAGCTTCCCGGGGCGCGGAGGCGGCGGGTGCCCCCCTCCGGCGGCCGGGCGGCTTACCTGTCTCCGCGCGGGTCCGGACGGCAGCGGAGAGAAGCGCGGAGACCCAAAGCAGCCACGGCAGGAACCAACGCCGCTCGTTCCTCCTGCAAAAAGTGGCCCAGTGAGAGGAGGCTAGGCGGGCTGGAGGGGCGCGGAGGAGTCGGGGCGCGGGCCACGGGGAGCGAGTCTTACCTTGGCTCCATCTCGCGGCTCTGCCCGGCCCCGGAGGCGCTAAGCAAGCGGCCGAGCTCCGCGGAGGCGACGGGCGGCCGCGCGCGCTTCCTGCGGGAACAAAGGCGGCGCTGGAGCGGCCGGCGGGCAGGCTCCCGGCTCCCCGCGCCCTGAGTCACCCGCGCTCTGAAACCCGACTCCGCCGCGCCCAGCGCTCCCTCGCGCGCCGCGGTGGCGCACTCCCACCCCGGGACCTCCCCACGCCCCTTTCCCCCCGCGGCAGCCTAGCGCTTCCCGGCCGCCGGTGCCACCCCCAGCCGCATTGGGTAACCTTCGGGAAAAGCCCGGAGTCCCAGCTCCGTCTGGCAAAGCGGACGCGGCCCCCTCCCCACCCTCACGTCTGTCCCTGCCCGAGCTGCTCCACGGACAAAGCGCTCTCCGTCGCGGGTCAATGGGATCCTCCTCTCAATGGCCCGAGGCGGCTGGAATCGCTGTGATTTGGGCTCGGAGAGGTGACGCCAATGTCCCAAGATCACACAGCTGGACTGAGCGTTTGCCTGCATAGGTGACCCCCGGAACCCGCTCCGGTGTGATCCAATTTGGGTGGTATAATGGATACACATAACTAAAAGCTAGTCCTAATAAAAATTGTAAATATAGCCGAAACCGGTTTGGCTCAGTGGATAGAGGATGGGCCTGCGAACTGAAAGGTCCCAGGTTCGATTCTGGTCAAGGGCATGTACCTTGGTTGCGGGCACATCCCCAGTAGGGGGTGTGTGCAGGAGGCAGCTGATTGATGTTTCTCTCTCATCGATGTTTCTGACTCTACCCCTCTCCCTTCCTCTGTAAAAAAAAAAAAAAAAAAAAAAAAAATCAATAAAATATATTTTTAAAACTTGTAAATATATCTAATATTCTAATGTTTTCCTCTTTATGCCTTGCCTATACCCCCAACCCCAAGAATAACCTCACAGGAGGGCAAGGGTTTATGTTTATTGTGTACCCTGCCTAAAATATTCCTGATGGTGGGAGATGCCAGTACAGTGGATGAACAAAGGGACACAGTCCTGAGTAAGACACCACTCCAGGGGCCTTTCTTCCTGAATGCACTTAGCAGCTATAGAGGGCATTGTGGTCAGTTCCTGCTTTTCATCCGATGCCCCTTCCTAGAGGGAGAGCCACCAGCTGCCAAGTGAAAGGTAATTTGAATTAGCCCTGCAAAGGAGCCGGGATGGACATAGAGGTGGTGGCTCACACTTCTTGAGCACTGGTTATGTCCCAGGCCCCGGGTTAGAGGCTCTGCCTGTGTTGTCTAATTTAATCCCCACAACTGCCCTGGGAAGGTGCCACTTAGTGATCCTCATTTCACAGAAGAGGAAGCTGAGGTTTAAAATGGGCTCAGACGAGTGCATGTCAGGCTCTTTGCCACTCGTACTACCCGTTCACAAACAAGAAGATTAGACCCACTGCCAGCCCCCAAGAACAGAATGGCACTGGAGACACAGAACACTGAGGCATGAAATGGTTAATACCAACCCTGGCGGTGAGGACTGGACAGGAGCTCTGACCTGGTGGTGAGGAGTCTGGATTCCAGTCTAGTTCTGGCACTGGCTGTAGAGTGCAGTTGGGCAAATCCTGTCCTTGTCTGTTTTTTGGTGTTTTTTTTTTTTTTTTTTTTTTTTTTTTAATTTCTTCTCCTACATAATGGACGTGATGATGGCCGGTCACTGAGAGTCTCTATGCAGTAACTTGCATGCCACAGTGCTCTGTGAACTGCTGTGCGGATGTGAGCGGGCTGGTCTGGGATTAATGCAAGCAGTCTTCGGGAAAGGAAGAAATCAACGTGACCTGGAGAAGGCAGAAGAGGCTTCAAAAAGGGAGTGAAGTTATCCAAGTTCTGGGGTCTGCCGAGAGCTTGTGGGGCTAAGCGGGAAGGGCAAGGCAGTACTCAGAGGAGCACGCGCCCAAGTGGTCAATGGGTAAGAACTCCTTGGCTGGAGAGGAGACCAGTGGGTAGGGAGGTGCTGGAGTGCTAAGATCTTGAAAGGCAGACTCATTGGTGGGTATGCACGTGGCCATGAAGGCCATGTGAAATCATTGGTGTTCCTTGGGCATTTTGGAACCTCACATGCCATTTACTGTGGGCAAAGCTATCTCCTTTCTGTCACCATTTTATTGATAAAGGAACAGATCCAGAGAGAACAAGCAATTTACCAAGTCACCTACCCAGGGAGTGTCAGATGGACAAGATCTCAGAGCAAAGGAGGGAGACACATAGGAGAAGGAGGGAACGAGCAAGATCTTCAGATGTTGCCGAGTTCACCTAGACCTGGAAGACCCTCAAGGTGGCGAATTCCTTGTCATTATAGAGACAGGCCCTTTAACAAATAAGAGGTCATAGAGAAGGTAGGAATAACGAGTGTGGGCTGGGTGGTCACACTGAATCCTTATGAGCTATCTAAAATGAAGGGAAATCTGTAAAATGAAGATGACAATGGTCCCTTTCTCGCAGATTCTTGGGAGGATGTAAAGTGTTACTGAGCTATAACGCATTTATCAGTGTCTGGTGCAAGACAATGCTCAATGGATGTTCCCTTCTGTTATTGTGATATTCTGCGATGGTGATATGCTGGCAGGGACATGACTGGCAAGAGAAAGGCAAGACCCCAGCCCTGTGCCTCCAGCGGTTGAGGCACCAGCAGCCAAAGCAACCCTGGAGCTAGGTTGGCCTCACGTGGAACTTACACACAGGCAAAGGACATTCTAACAAAATCGTCCACTTCAGGTGCCATTGTTAACCTATTCATACTCTCTGTGAGTATGAATTCTCTCCCATTTGCAGCCATTCTGTGCTGCATCTACTTTATTTTATTATAAATTACTGATCATAGGGAGTTTGCCTTCTTAATTCTGTATTTGCCTATTGCATATAAAGTAGCCTATCAACTGGGAATGTAACGACATTCTTAGAACTATATTTCTATGCTGCTTAGAAAGAGCCACATCAACCACAATGATATAATAGTTCTACAACTGTGTTTGACAGTTAAAACCAGAGATTGTGAACTGGTGGCCATGGGTTCACTTTGGCCTATTGATATGTTTTGTTCAGCTTGCCAGGTGACAAGCCCCATATTAAATTATTAGCAATATTTGATAATGAAGCTCTTTTACATCTAGAATTCTGGCTTTTTGAAAAATCTGGCAACGTGGGATCTATGTTCCCTGTGAAAACAATTGGTTGGCATTAAAAAGGAGATGCTGCCTTCAGTTAAAGCAATGGCCTTGAATTTGCCATTGTCCCCACCACTCCTATTGGTCCCCAACACCACGGCTAAGAATCATTTGCCATTTATCATCACACATACATAAATGAGAGAGAAGTAGAATAGATTGAGTGCTCATGTCTGTTAAAAATGGGTAAAAACTAGATGACAGATAGATAGATAAATAGATGGATGAGCTGGAGAGCCATGTTTTAAGAAAGAGTAAAGGACACATTTTTACATGTTTAATATACAAATAAAGCATATATATCTTGAAAAAAAATGAAACTAAGATGCCATTATGAAACTAACCTCATCCACCTCATTAGTATGTTATCTGAAGGATGAAGGCACAGCTTTGTTTTGATTGGTGGGCTTAATTGTGGTCTAGTTCATTAGTCCAAGATACATAAGCATAAAGGCAGCAGGCTCTGGCAGGGAGATCCTGTGAGCACATTTCATATTTTGTTGGTTCGCTGTAAGTATCTGATAATATCCAATTCGCTGAAATCAAAATATGAAAGTCCCAAAGCACATTTCTCCCCTATAAAGTAGTGGAAATAGATGCACATTAATATTGTTTATTTTGTCCCAACTTCACCTGGGAAGTAAGGTCAGGTTCACAGGCAGTAATGCTCTCATTTTGGAGTTGGGCCTGGAGATGTTAACTGTGACCTCAGACTGATGGAGGCCAGAGCATGTGTCCAGCCTGTAAGCTGGAGGGGGTCCAAATGGTCCCAGTGCAGGTGTGGGAGGGATGGGGGCAAGACGCCAAACCAGGCATTTTGCCTTCTGCCAGACTGTGTTTTGACGGTTTAAGCGATTTCCTTCCATTCAATATGAAGCTGTAGAAATAGCCAAGAGGAAGCTTCGTGTCATAGCCAAGCTGGTCTAAACTGTTTACCATGGCTTCGGTACAGTTCGTGAGAGCGGCACGTGTGGAGACATGGGGATCGTCTGTCCCCTCCCAGGACTCAGCTGAATCGGTGGGCTATTCCTTTTTCCTACAATTCGTCCAAATATCCTAGAGAACTCAGTCTCCAAAAGCATTCTCCAGGCAGTCTCAGGCAGCTGGAAGGGACACACAAATGAGTGAGACACATTCCAAATTTTGGTTGGGGAACAAGTTACCAGGCACACGGTGCATGTCTTTCCAAACAGTGTCTTTGGTACAGCTAGTTATAGCTGGTCTGCTTTTTCTGCTATTGACATCAGATGAGGATTCAAGCTTTGGGTGCCTCCTGAGAAGCACCCTCTGGTCTGCTCTCACCCACATTTCTTTCTTTTTTTCTTTCTTTCTTTCTTTCTTTCTTTCTTTCTTTCTTTCTTTCTTTCTTTCTTTTAAATAAATATATTTTTATTGATTTCAGAGAGGAAGGGAGAGGGAGGGAGAGAGAAACATCAATGATGAAAGAGAATCATTGATTGGCTGCCTCCTGTACGCCCCCTCCTGGGGATCTAGCCCTCAACCCAGGCATGTGTCTTTGACCTTCAGTCCGCAGGCCTATACTCTATACACTAGCCTAGGGGTCTGCAACCTTTAAGACATAAAGAGCCACTTGGACCCGTTTCCGAAGGAAAAAAAAAAACCTGGGAGCCGCAAAACCATTGCGACATTTAAGACAAATATAACACTGCATATATTGTTTCTTACCTTAATGCTATATACCGGATCGTGCAGTTAGCTGTCAATCTGAAGAAAAAAGGGACTTTTTCACTTAACAGTGTAAAAAATATTTTTGTAAATTAATAGCTAATTAAAATAT